ATGAGAGGAAATCCCCCTCCAAAAAAATAAATAAATAAATGTATATTATTAAGATCTATAGGTTTATAGCATAGTAGTAGTGCTCCATAGGTTACCAGGAGAAGGTTTAGGATTCAATATTACCTGGTTACAAAAATTTATCACTTTCATGATTGGTTAACCAACTTCCAATTTATATTGTATCCAATTAGCTGACAATCTACTTCCAAATTTAGTTAGGCTGCATGAAGATGGGACCTCTGGTCTTTCTGACGATTATGAGCTGAAAACAGGTCAAAGCACAAAAGATTGCACAAGGGAAGACTTCTGATTTAACTCTGGTAAAAGCTCACTCTAATATAAACTGGTGATGGCAGACTCCATTACACAATCCCAAAAAAAAGAGATTAATTCTAAGCCATTCTATCCCAATCTGGAGCTTGTAGATCTATCCCAATAGTGGCATTCTACGGAACTTAATTATATAACCAAAGGGCAAGATATCAGCTATAGATAGTGAGAATATTAGACAAAAATTGTTAAGCCAAATGCATCTAATGAGGATTTACAAGATTAAATCAGAATCTAAGCAAGAACACCAGTTCCACAGATGGTGAAAATGGTAGTACTACGTTATGCTAGTGATACATCCTGAGGATTGGTGATAACAATGACTAGAATACTGGAGTTAATCTCTATAATAATATTCCATAATGTGTCTTATTTATGACAGATGCAGTCACGACAGAACCTAGTAGAAAGGTGGTTTAAACTAGCAATAGGATTTTCACTCCCTATGTAAATCCCACCTGGCATGTGGATCATCTACTTGATGTTTAAAATTTTGTATAGCTAGATATGTCATAATTGATCTAGGGGACACCAGGGTTACTAGAAATGGTAATCATCAGGTAATATTAATTTGCATTTTGGATAGCAATAGCCTACTTTGTAAAGATGTTTGATGTAATGACAATAAAACATATGTTTAATAAATGTCTCGCATCTAATGCCCTTAGCCAATTAAAAAAAAAAACAAAAAAAAACAAAAAATAAATGTATATTATTAATCCTTTTATTTATTTTCTTTCTTAATTAACAATTTTTTTTATAATTTAAACATTTTCTTTATAATTAAGCATCAAATGTTATCTATTATTGAATTAATCAATTATGGCAAACACTATACAGTATGCAGTATATTTTTTACGAATTAATAAATAAACGTATTGTAAAAAAATATAATGCAACTTTAATAATAACGTTTCATCGTCAACTGAAACTGGAAACCGACATTGTCACATTCAATCAATTCGTCCACAAATGGAAAAAACTGGATTTGACGCCGGACAATTTTGTGCAAGCAAACGCGAACCGTCATTTAAAATCACATAATTTCCGACAAAATCGCCAATGAGCGCCACCAAGATAGGATACCTTCTAGTTCGCACGATAGCGAAGCCAATTGCGAATGGCATAAAAGTAATAACGCATTCCTTTTCTTAATGCAATTTACCCTTAAAAGGAAGAATGCGCCGTGTAATTAATGACATTATCGTAAATTAGAGCTATAGCAAAAATCACCCGAGCTTTCGACGACTTTGTATTAATGTAGCGCAGGTAAAGAGTTTACGAATGCACTTTCAAACAGGGTTGGGGATTTAACCTTCCATGTATTATTGTTACCACAAAGGCGGCATACCGTTTTGAAATTAAATTAAATATGAATCTTTTGGGACAAAAAGGGGACAGCAAGATTCGTGCATTGAATAGTGCAAAGTAAAGCCAAACAAGGAAAATTGATTCAGTGTCATTTTTATTGATGTCTACCTAACCTGGTTAAAATTTCAAAGGGCAGTGGAAATGGGAGCCAATTTCCTAGGTGAGGCCATTATATTTGGGGTCGCAGCATCATTGATTCTATGGGAGCAAACAAGGTAAGTGGATAATCTCGATGACCATCTTTTAGATATACAGTATGTATTCATTAAATATGTATGTATAGGTCACACAAATTGTCTAAGAGTCGACAGTATAATTTGGATGAAGCCATAGAAAAGTTAAAGGACGAAACGAGGGAATTAAAAGCTAGCATAGAGAAACTCCAAGATAATAATGAGAACTTAAAAAACTTATTGAACCAAGCTTTAACAGAAAGGACAAAATCAAGGTGGCAAGTTGTAAATTTTTCGGAGGGTAATGGATATGACCAAAATGTCGGTCAACGGGAAGAACGTCAGGAGGATCAAGTCAGTAGGATTGGTAGAGAGAAAACTCAA